TTAATACTTAAAACCCCTGTTGGGTTTCCAAGGCAGTAAATCTTTATGGAGGACTGCCACATTTTTCTCCCATGGAGGAGCTGGTGGGTTTGAAGCACCAACCTTCTGGTTATCAGTCAAATGCCTTAGACACTAGTACCACAGAGATCCTTGGTTTCATACTTATTCAGTAATAAAACTTTTCTTTCTCTTCTCTTTTTGTGGAAGTGTTATGGGTTGGGTTTAGATTTTGTTTTCAGTTCTATTTCTTCAACACCCCTAACTAGATTCCATTTCCATTCTTGAATATCAGGTGAACCTCAAGCAAAGTTAGAAAATAGCCCAGTGGACTAGTTAGTACTCAGTGTGTAGATGTTTCCAGGGAGAGCTATAACATAAATGAAGTCTCAGCCTTTCCCTCTCACCTCTGCCCAGTTGTTTCATTCTCCCTCTTTAGAGATAGCAGAGCATAGTGGTTAAGAGCCTGGCTTCTGGAGTCAAGACTATCCATTGCCAAGGAGGGGAGCCTGATGTAGAGTGGCCCTATAGGACATAGTAGAAACTTCCCCATAAATTTTCCAAGGTTGTACATCTTTACAGAAGCAGACTGCCATATCTGGGGACTTTTCAGTCAGCAGCCCAGCACTTAACCATTGCACCACCAGCTCTCCTTGGAGTCAGGCTAAACAAAAAACCCACAACCATCAAGTCAATTCAGACTCATGCAACACTATAGGTGGGCAGGTTAGAACTGCCCCCTAGGGTTTCCAAGGCTGCAACCTTTACAGAAGCAGCTGCCCTATCTTTCTTCCACAGAGCAGCTGGTAGGTTAGCCATCAACTTTTAAATTAGCTGCTGAGCACTTAACCAGGGCTCAGCAGTCTGTCTGCCTAGAGTGAAATCCCAGCTCTGCTACTTCCTAGGTGTGTGGTCTTGGGCAAGATCAAGTTATTGAAACTTTGTGTGTCTCAGTTCCCTTGTCTGTTGTTAGCTGCCGTGGAGTCAGCATCCAGACTCATGGTGACCCCATGCACAAAGGAATGAAATGCTGCCTGATCCTGTACTATCGTTCCCCATGATTGGCTGTGGCGTGAACTATTTGATCCACAGGGCTTTCACTGGCTGATTTTCAGAAGTAGGTCGCCAGGCCTTTCTTCCTATCTGCCTTACCACTGCAACCTGTTTGGCAACACGTGTCTGTGCAGGAGTTGCACTGGCCAGGAATCAAACTGGGTTTTCAACATGGAAGAAGAGAATTCTATCACTGAAAAATCTGCCCTTATCTGTCCAAATGGGCTAACAGTACCTGGGCTTGTTGTGCCTGGAACAGAGCCTTGGCAATTATTACTCCTTAGAATGGTCAACATAATTATTCTACTTTATAGGTATGGGAGGATCAGAGGTTGCGAAGGGGCTAGACCACTTTTTTTCCACTCTGTCTGCAATAAACCCACAGCTTTGTTTTTTAAAAGATAAGTATCTGTGATCACTTCTCTTTTCTGAATACAGCGTGGGATTTTTAAATGATAAAACTTGAGCAGGCTGCCTTCTTAGGGAGTTCAAGGAAACATGAGCTGTTAGACTAGAGTTACAGTAAATCACCTTCCATTAAGTTCTGGTTCTGGTTAGCCAGGCAACTGTTCCATTAGTTCAAAACAGATATGTTTGTCTTTCTGTTTGACCTTTGAATAAGAGGATTAGCTATGGACAAGTTCTCCAAAGTGTGTCTGCTTTAATTAGTAAAAATCACTTTGGACTTGGCATTGGGGGTGTTGGTTCTAGGGCCACTGTTGCTGTTGTTAGGTGCTGTCCAGTCCATTCTGACTCAGTGACCACATGTGACAAAGTAGAGCTGCCCCATAAGGTTTTCTAGCCTGTAATCTTAATGCGAGCAGATCTGTCAGGTCTTTCCTTGCAGAGCTGCTGGGTGAGTTCCAACTGCCAGCCCACTTTTCTGTTAGAAGAGCCACCAACCTTTTGGTTAGCAGCTGTTGCATCACCAGGGCTCCTTCTAGGTCCACTAGAGCATCTGTTACCACACACTTTTAACCTCTACTGAGCATGGTTCAAAGGCTTTCTGGTGGTGCAGTGGCTAAAGCATTCTGCTGCCAACCAAAAGCTTGGCAGTTCAAATCTACCAGCCACTCTGTGGGAGAAAGATAAGGCAGTCTACTTCCATGAAGATTTACAGCCTTGGAAACCCTATGGGGCTGTTCTACTCTGTCCTATAGGGTCACTGTAAGTCAGAATCGACTTGATGGCAGTGAGTTTGGTTTTTTGGTGCATAGTTCATGGCGAGGCGAAGACAAGGTGTTTGGTACTCCGGTCTATAAAACAGGAAGAAAAACAATGTCTCTGCTTTAAAGTTGAGACTAGAGGTGCAAAGTGTTTTGGGTTCCCACTGAAAAGATGCTAGATCAGCTCCACATAGTATTACCATGTATAATTAACTGTGTTTCCATGACCAAAGGGAAAAATAGAAGTCAGAGTATAGAAAGGGTTAAAAAAAAATCAGTCAAGAAGTCAACCCTGCACCTGGAGAGTGAGGCGTTCTGCATTCTCTACCCTAAGCAATTTTCAGGATAACACAGGAGCTATTAAAAATAGCTAAATAAACCGTAGCACTTAAGGGGATATCTGTTCCAAACCAACTGTGATATCAGCTGTGTACATATTTAGAAAATTCCAGAAAAAGACTCCAAACCTTAGTGCTGGGGAATCTTAAAAAATCGGAACCAAATCTCCCTGGCTACGTGCAATCGTAGCTCTGTGGCGGAGAGGAAGCTGCAGCGCGATGTGGTGGAAATATCAAGTATGGGGTTGGGACTGGAGACCCAGGCTGCTTGCTGCGAAGGACTCAGGCCGCCCTGCCTACTCACTTCCTCCCTCTGTCCCCTGTGGGCCTCAGAAAGACTGATCTTAGAGATGATCTCTCTAAGACCTCTTCCAGCTCTACTAATCCTGCCGAGAATAGATGGAGGGCGCTGGGCGCTGAGAGCGCAAACCGAACCTCTCCGGAATGTTTCACTCACAGCCCCGAATAGCTCACTGAACCAGGGAATGCGAGACAGGAGCGGCCGGAGACGCTGCTCCCAGCCAGAGGGAGGAGAGAGCGCTCGTCGCTGGCTGGAAGGCAAGAGTGGCAAGCAAGGTGAAAGAAGGGCGCACGTGAGGTTTCTAAGCAGCTCCCGGGAGAACCACCACGGGCTGGGGATCGGATCAGGGAAGCTGGAATGCGGCGGTGGGAGGGATGCAGGATCTGGGCTCCCGGCAAGGGAAGAGGACCGAGTGTGCAGAAGCGATGCAAAAGGTGGAGAACCAGGGGGCGAGGGCGAGCTGGACCCCTGAGCAGCAGGACCCTGGAGGCGAGAAGTGGGCGCGGCCGCACTGGCTGGGCAGGGGTCGGGGTTCCAGGGTGGGCGCGTGCGGTGCTTACCAATGTCTCCTCCTCAGAAAGGCCGGCCTCGGCCGCGATAAGGCACAGCGTGGTGGCGTCCGGGTGCTTGTTAACCTTGTTAAAGTTGTACTCGAGGATCTCCACCTGGTCCTCGGTGGGGCCGCTCGCGGTCTCCGTGGACATGGTCTCGAGGAGGCTGCAGGGCAGGAAGAAGCGGCAGCTGTGAGCGAGGCTGAGGGCGGGCGGGACGCGGGGAGGGACTGAGATCCGGGACGCGTCGGACACTCACAGCCCAGGCGCACCCTCGGCCACGCGAGGACCGGCGGCTGCAGGTGTGGCGGGAGCTGCGCTGGCGGTCCTTCCCGGGGTCGACCTCCGGGTACACGATTTAAGTGGTCCTGCAGCTGAGCTCCCGGGAATTTATACAACTTTCCCTGAGCTCTAGGGCTGCGATGGTGGGGAGGAAGATGACGCAGAGCGCCCTCCAGACGCTAAAGAAGGAGTGGAGGAAGCGCGGAGATGATTTTGACAAACTACCTTATAAGCTTCTTCTGGGGAAGGGGACTCCCCTGGGGACTAACTTGACAGATCGCGAGGGTGGGGTACGCCCGATTCCATGGCGGGGACGCCTCACCAGTACACATCTTTCTGCATCTAAAATGGTTTAGCACTTGGGGGCCCTCTCTGGGGAGGACCGTGCATCCCACATTTCCTCCAAAGAAACTACCTCAGGGCAGATGTTACTTCTCAAAGTTGGGAAATAACCAGCAGCGCTTTTGAAGTCTCTCCATTTTACAGAGATGGAGACAGGTCCATAGGGAACAGTCATTTACTTCTGGAGCTCCTGAGGCAGAGCCCATGTGTGGACAACTCTATCTGCAACTCCTCCGTCATGCCTCCCTTGCAAACTCCCCCAACCCCACAAATGCACACATATACTTTTTCTTAACTAAGTCGTGAGTCTAGGCTTCCAGCCAACCAGTGGCTATTCACTCCCTAGCAAGGCCAGGGCATTGTTCCACAGTATATGGTGGAAAGGCTGCTTCACTGGGAGAGGACTTCCAAGACAGAGCATCAAAGTCAGCCGTCTTTGTTTGTTTCAATTTTTTACTGTGTTTGGGTGCACATTTACAAAAATTCGTTTTACCCTCAACAGTTCATACACGTTTTGTTTCACAGCATGGATAACAATCCCAACAATAAAAAGCTCTCCTCCCATCTCCTCCCTGTGACTGACTACCCCTTCCCTGTGTCCTTATCTGTGCATTCCTGTCTGTTTAGATTTCTCCCTATGCAAATGTGCCCTTCTGATCACTGAGGTAGATTAATGTAAGGGATGCACCTCCCTGGGGTTGGTGTTCTGCTTGTAGGTCTTTCTACTGTTGGGCTGAGAGCTAATCCACAAAAGTGAGTCCAGTTCCAGGCTCAAAGGATGACACTGGGCCATACTCTCGGTGGTTCCACCAGCCTCTATCCAACTAGTAATTCTTGTCATTTTTGTGTTTTTGAATATTGTTCCACATTTGTCCTCCTACTCTATCCAGGATCTCCAATTTTGATCCCTTTCCTAGTGGTAGCCAGGCACCATCTAGTTCTTATCTCAGAGTTGTGAAACCTGAGGTCCCTGAGGTCCATCATATCCTTGGACTTATTGTTTTCAAATGACTTTGATTTTCTTCACTCTTCTTTGCCCCAGATGAGGGGAGACCAATAGATGCATCTTAGATGGCTGCTCAATAGCTTTTAAGACCCCAGTCACTACTCCCCAAAGTAGGATGTAGAACAAGATTTTTATGTACTATGTTGTGCCCATTGAGCTTAATGTTCCCCAAGACTATGGTCCTGAGCCTACAGACCCAGTGACTCACCCTCAAGGTGCTGGGTTGTTGCTAAAAAGCTACTCCAACCTTGTCCCTTGTTAGTTCTGTAATGTGTATGGATATTTTTGTAGCACAAATACACATGAAAGATCAGTCAAATCTATCTATGGTTATGAGTATATTCCCATTTGCCTACCCACACCTGATGTTCTCATCTGTCTAAGCATCCACCCTTAGACTAGTGTTTGTTGTTACTGATAATGCAGTATTGTGTATGTAATAGTATTTGCCTCTGTTGTTGATACCTTTTGTGCACCTCTCTGTGACCTTCTTCTTCCTATTGTTACTGTGCTGGTCACACCCTTTTATTATATTGCCATTCCCTTCACTCAAATCAACACATGCAAAGTCATTCAATCTCAGGCTTCCCCTATGGTTGTATTAAAATTTACAAGTCAGGAGAATGGGTCTATCATAGACTTCAATGTCTCTGTTATCCCCTTACTTTAAAACCAAACCCACTGCCATTGAGTCAATTCCAACTTATAGTGACCAACCCTCATAGAGTTTCTCTGAGGCTGTAAATCTTTAAGGAAGTAGATTGCCTCATCTTCCTCCCACGGGGCAGCTTGTGGGTTTGAACCACTGACTTTCTGGCTAGCAGCCAGACGCCTTACCCACTATGCCACTTCTAGAGCTCCTTACCTTTACTTTAAAGTGGGACAAATTACCTAATAAGCAAAGTAAGCATGGGCTTACTTATGCTTAATTATTAATCTGTAGTCAACAGTTTCATGTTTTTCATCAAGATGTATCCACTATAGACTAGTAAGTAAGCCCAAGTAGGCCCATGTTTACCTTGCTTACTGGCTACTCTCTCCCTGTCAAGGCTTGTAAATTTGAGAAAATGCTTTGATTCTGTAGGAAGGTGCTGAGGGGCTGGGAGAGAGACAGATGTCAGCCATACCTAGAAGCAGATTCTTTGATGGGTGAAAAAATATGAAACTGTTCACTACAGATAAATAAGTAAGCACAAGTAAGCCCATGTTTACTTATTGAGCAATCCAACACTGGCTTCACCCAAGCATTGCTGTAGCGGATGTTTGGGCAAGATGACTTCCTGCTGCATTTGTTCCCTTAGATAGCTAAGTAGACTGTGAGTGGGACAGAGAAGACTGGCTGATGTGTACCCCTCCTCCTCTTCTCCTTAATTTAAGATGCATTGTTAATAAGAAATTGGAGTCTTTAAGATCTTCTTGACCGGGGATTTGGTACAGGCAGGCCAGGACTTGCTGCTGACAGTAAAAGACAGCGTAAGTGTGGGAATCATGTTGGTTTGCTGTTTTAACAAATGACACAAAATCATCCAGCATAATTCTGAGTAGTTTTGATGTGGTTTGTGTCTGGGAATGAGGTACACTTCACTGATCTACCTATAAAGTGTACTTGATGCTGTTACATCCTTTTCTACTATGACCTGAATCTCCTGTTCAGTAAATGTCAGCCACTTCTTGGGAGAAAAGACCTAGCAATCTGTTCTTATAAAGTTTACAGTGCTAGAAACCCTATGAGGTAGCTCTACTCTGTCCTATACAGTCCCTAGGAATGGGAATTGACTTCACGGCACCCCACATCAACAGGCTACTTGGAGAAGTCTCTGGCTGGAGAGAATGGTTAACATGCTCACCAAAACATTGGCAGTTAGAGGACCCTCTAAGAAAGGCCTGGTGATTTACTTTGGAAAAAATCACAGCCATTGAAAACTCTATGCAGCACAGTTCTCTGATACACATGGGGTCACCATGAGTCAGACCCAACTCAAAAGTATCTGGTAAGTGCTTGAAGAAACCACTTGAAGAAACTTTCAGTCAGAACATGAAGTTGTCTTTATTGTACATTCTCTAAGAATTCCAGGTATATAGTAGAGCTGAAAAGGGACAAGATTGTGGTGACTTCTTGGCCACAGCCATCTATCCAGAGGGAGCAAGCAATTGGACCTGTGGGCTCAGGACCATAGTCACAGGGGACATCAGGTTCAATTGGCATAACATACTACACAAAAAAATTGTTTCACATCCTACTTTGGTGTGATCTTGAAAGCTTGAAAGTGGCCATCTGGATGCAACAATGGGTCTCTATTCATCCAGAACAAAGAAGAATGAAGAAAACCAAAGACACATGGAAACAAATAGTTTCTATGGTACACCATGCGATCCTCAGCCTATATGACCATGAGACCAGAAGAACTAGATGGTGCCCGGCTACCACTGTCACCCACTCAGAGGGGGATTTCTGTAGGAGATACTGGATAGAGTGGGGGAGCAATGTGGAAAAAAACTCAAAATCATTTAAAAAAAAAGGACCAGTTTTGCTGGTCTGATAGAGCCTGGTGGGACCACTGAGACTATGGTCACTAGCTGCCCTTCAGGTCTGGAACTGAACCCACTCCCAGTCAAACAAAAGACAGGTATATGAGGTGAACATTTACACTAGGTAGATACGCTCCTTGAAGTGATCAACCATGGGAGAATAGAAGGGCTGCATATGTACAGGGAAACAGCTTGAGGGGCAGGAGTGCATGGGAGGGAAAGACACAGGGAAGAGGTAACTATGGGGAGGAAGTGGGAGGGGAGCTGTTGCATTGTGGGAAATTATAGTCAATGTCATGAGACAAAGTGTATGTGAGCTGCTGTATGGAAAGTGAATTTGGTCTGTAAACTTTTACCCAAATCACAATAAAAATTAAAAAAAAAAAAAAGAAGAAGTTGTCTTTACTTTACTGTTAGAGAATTAGGCTCAAGTCAGTTGTCAAATTGCTGTAAATCCCCTTGTGTTTTTAGGGGGTCCTGCGCTCCTCTGCCTAAAAATCTATAACAGTGAGTTCTACCCCAGTGCTGAGGTGGGAGGAAAGGTCCAGGCTGGTCAGAAATACTTCCTCTCCTGTTGACTCCCTTCCTCACCTTTGACACAAAACTTCAGAACTGGAAAGAACCTTGGAGATTACTTCCTCTGGTCTCTCCTGTAACAGCCCAGGAGGATGGAGCTCAGGAAAACTAAATTTCCCAAGGTCACTCAGTTAGTGGCACCCTAGAATGGAAACCTTAGCTTCTGTTTCAGCCCCATGCTCTGTGAGAACCCCCTCAAGAGGTAATACTCTGTCTCCAGTTTGGCATAAAAATCAGGAGAACACCAGTTTAAACGCAGGCAGAAGCTCATTGCGATTTTGAATGTTCATGGGCACAGACTGTCCTATTAGAACATTAATTCTGGTTGAAGCTGCCCAAAAGGATCCACGATTGTTCATTTACCTAAATGAGCACAGGAGAAGGGAAACTGCTGCTGCTCCCCCCCCCCCATACACTG